GTAACTCTTTCAAATGAATAAAATCCTTAAAACAACTATGCATGGACTTCAAAAATTTTTGCACCAACAAATATCTTTTAATTCCATTGCATCATGAACATTTTAACAGAGCCTCATATGTGCTCATAATGAGAGATTCCACACAAGTTGTTAGCTGTGTATTTAGACCATTAATTTTCTTAGGCTGATCACACAGATATGCTGAAATGCAGAGTCCACCTTTTTCTCTAGCACATGTTCTGTTTCTCCAGTATGTGAGCACAGGTGAGATAAAAATGGGTCTTGTATTCCAAGCAGAAAATAAGTTCAGTCAAGACACATGAGTGAAATCAAGAAACATTTACAGAGCCACTGCCCAGCCCTGTTTATGGGAACAGCAAATTCACATGAGGACTCTTTCCACTAGGCTTCCACAGGCAACTCAGATCCCACTTCTACAGTGGTTTTGATAAAACACTGAGTATCATCCATATGGTATGTGTTGTTTTTTTCCATGTCGTATCTCAAGGGCAACTCTGACTCCTCAACATTTTGTACTCTGACTGCACTCTAAGCCTCTGAAATCAGGGACCAAGCATTACACAGGTTCACGTCTTTTATACTGCCCATGCTATCACCAAAGCCTCAATGAATCCAAGATAAAGGAGCAGACAATAACTGTAGATGAATTTTGTTGAATCATGGTTACCCTGTGGGACTTTTCCTTTACATTTCTTTATCCAAACTATAAGGTACTCTCCATTTTGAGAGGAACCATCATGTCACAGACAAGAGAAAAGTGGCCCAGGGCTCACGGATAGAATGAGGGATAAGTTTCTTTACCTTAGACAGACACAACTGGGAGTCTAGTGAGAGCAGTTCCGAATTCCGTTCAAAGTCCTGAGCTATTCCATAATTTGGTTTCCTCTTTAACAACTGCAGACAAATTTCTGTCAACCATTTACGATTGTTTTAAAGATTAAATTAGTCATTGCATGTAAGAGTATCTGGTGTATGCTACCCAGTAAACAATAAGTGATAATCATTTGAATCCTCTCTGTCTTTCAAAAACAAAAGGACCTGGGAGTACGTTTATTCAGAAACAGTTGGTTCTGGAGAATACAATCAGAGCATAAAGAACATCAACAAGAAAAACGTGCTCTGTTTGACATGAGTTACAGGTGCATGCTGCATATTACTGTGAGACAAGTTGCAGAACAAGGCTGGGCAGGTGGAAAAATCACAAACAGTACATAGCATCCTAAGTTTCTACTCAGGTTCCATGACATCTCAGTTGTTCAAACTTGAAACTGGATAAGCTATTCTAAACTGATTACTCTGAGTGCAGTAACAGGATAGCTTCTTTATGTGGTCGGATAGACAGAATCATTCTCTTGTTTGAGTTGCCTTCTGGGAATAAACAAATATCCTCAACAGTTGGAACACAAGGGATTGTGGCACCTGGAAATTCAAATGTGACGCATCCATTCAAATTAGCACACAATTACATATACCCATCAATCAAAAAGCTTGCAACCTGTATGCAATTTATATTCCTATCTGGTCAGAACTTAACTCTTACTGTTTCAGAGTATGACTGAAGAAAGGAAAGCAAAGGAGGCAAGTAACCTTTAAACCTTTCAAAAAACCACAGGACAACGGAGCTATGGAGAAGAAATCCGAGAAAAAAAAAATTCAATGATGAAGGGAAAAAATGCATTGGGAAAATGGAACAATGATACAGGACAATCTATGGTGCTTTAAGATATATCAAATTTTCCATGGTGGTTTCTAATTGTATTAGTTTGAAGCACATAGAAAGTGTCACTATCAGGCTGTTTTTAACTTACAGAAAGGGCAATTCATGTTTTTAGGCCAACACCAGTTTTTGTTAAGAAACTCTCATTCTTTGATATCTTAAATAGTTTATATATTTATAATGATAAAATATCACCACTCCTCTATTAGGTTTACATTGCAGGAACCCAAATATATGAAATCAAGGAGGAACAAAACACACAGAGGGAAACAAAATAACGATTGAGCTTCTTTTTAGCAAGACATTAGAAAAACAGAACACATCTCCCTGTGGGGAGCACTGACCAGAGCAGGGATGCTAGGATTTAGGGTAAGTGGAAAGACTTCAAAGTCGTGGCTCCTATGGAAATAGAAATGCTAAAAATGGAATCTGGAAGAAGGGCAGGTTAGTCAGACCTAGAGAGAGAAGGCAAACTCAGAAGAAAACAAACAGAACAGTCTTCATGATCTATCCCAAGTCTGGGAGCTCAAGAAGAAACTGGAAATCTAACGACAAGTCAGAAACCTTGTTTAAAACTCTTCAGTACTTTGTCCACCCCAGTTTTCTCGGGTAACCAATCCATTCTTTGGAGGTAACATACTTATTATCAAAACAACAAGCCATATGCATAAAGCCAGAAGACCCTTGAGGCAGGAGAGTACACCTTGCAGTGAGCCTTCTCTTGAAGAAGGGTGCCCCGCTCAGTCTGCAAGGAAACCGTGCTGCAGGAGAAGATTCTCGCTACGCATGAGAGACTGAGCTGAGCTGTGCACTCCAAAGGAGATCCTGGGTAGCAGCCTGCTGTGAATTCTCCTGCTGACTTTTGTCAGTTTCAGTGTTAGGTAGCAATGCACACTACAGCATGTTCCCATATTCTCTCCACTCTAATCCATTATGGAGATTGTAAATAAATGCCAAACTCACCACAGATCTGGTGAGGGCACAAGCTCCCTCTCCTAGCATTCAGGAAGGACTTTTCTAACTTCAGGAAATAGACTGACAGTGGCTTAGCCTCACACTCCAGGCTGAGTCTGTCACGTGGGAAAACCTAGAGAAATTCTGCGGGTAGAAAACTCTTAGCATAACCCAAATAAAGAGCCAGGGCAAGGAAAGAGGTAGTGGAAATCAAGAACCCATAACATGTTTCAAAATGAGTAAAACATTTAGCAACAGAATAGAGTTGGGGAATAAACTTCAGGAAACCTGAAACGATAGAAACAGAGATTCTGGCCTAGGATCTGAAACAAAAAAAAAAAAAAAAATGAAAAATGAGCCGTGCAGGAAAGTTCCATGACCAATCCACTATGCCAACCACACAATCTAGAGTGTTACCAGCTCTCACCAAATAGAAACTTAGACGCTCTTGAGGTAACTGGGCATGATGCAGAAGGGGAGATGGGTAGGAACTCAGAACCTCAGCATCACCCAGAGTTGGGTTTGAGAAGAAACTGGCACAAAGACACAAAGAGAGATTTAGGAAAATCCAGGGAAGTACAGTATCCTAGAAACCAGGAGACAGAGAAAAGAAGGCCAGAAAGAAGGTGGGGTCAGCATCATTACATTTGGCAAAGCAGCAGAAGTACGAGGATGAGAACAATCCCTGACTTAGGCAACACCAAGGCACGGATGGCACCAAGACAAACACCTTTGGAAAGACTGCATCACATCAGGAAGTGATGAGTTGAATCACACAGAGGAGTAACAGTCATTTTTATCTAGCACACAAAGAGGTATTAAGTTACCACTCAGCCTCCACTTTCTTGGGTAATCTATCACTGTCTATTATTAAAATCAGATCACTGGTTTGGATAACACAAACTCCAAGGAGAAAAAGTACTCCTTGAAAAATTGAATGTTTTATAATCTTGCTGCTTGAAAATTATTGATAGAGCTCATGTGAATTCAGCATTAAGAGAATGTGTGTGTGTGTGTGTGTGTGTGAAATCCACAGAATTAGAGTTGATGGTGGTTACTGGGGCAGGGGAGGGGTAAGAATCTTTAGAAAAGAGAGGTATTGTGCACAGAGGACAAGCCTTCATCTAGATACGAGGAGTATGTTTTATTGTCTACTGCACAGCATGGCTAGCAATATGTGTAATACAAAACTGCCAAAAAGCAAATTTGATTCTTTATTTGTTTTTATCTATTCTAAAGGTTAAGTGACAGAGAGAGACAGAGATACAGAGAGGAGAGAGAGACTGATCTTCCACCTACTGGTTCACTCCCCAAATGGTTGCAACAGCCACGTCTGGGCCAGGATGAAGCCAGGAACCAGAAACCCTATCTGGGTCTCTCAGTGGGTGGCAGGGGGCCAAGCACAAGTAAGTGAGGTCACAGATACGCCCCGTCCACCACCTGTCTCACTTACAAACGCAGGACTCTCACACTAGGTTGTTCAGGAAGGGAAACTCACTTCCCCTCATTTAATTTATAAAGACACGGAAGTCGCAAGGCCCTTTAACGCCCTGACATTCTGATTCACTGCTCCCTGTGGACACTGGAACCTAACACAGCTGAGAGTTCCAGAGCACTGGCAGTTGGAGGCCTGATGGGGACACGCAGGGTCTCAAGGACAGGCAGAGCAAGCAGCACCCGGAGACGGAAGGCAGCTGACCGGGCACAGAGATGTGTAGGAGAGTAAGCTGAAGTAGCCAGATATTTTCATTTAACCTCTGCGACATCCAAAAAGAGGTGGGGGCAGGGGTGGGGGTGGGGGTGATCCTGAGATTTGCTGATGGGAGAAAAAACAACCAAAACTTACTTGAGAAGTTTATTATCATCCCAGAAACACTATTAACTTTTGGCGTTCTGAGGAAACCGGGGCTTAGCCTCATACATAATTTTTACTTTTACAGGCTCATTTAATTTATAAAAAATTGGAGAAATTATACAAAGAGGCCACTTAGGAACTTGAAAATGAAGGACACCGATAATCCCCACTGCGTTACATCTGGAGAATTTCTTTCCTGGGATACGACTGTTAGTTGTGTCATTGTAAACTTGAAAACACGTTAGCATTTCAGTTTTGTTTGAACACTTTCAAAGATGTTCCTTGTTGGTAATACTGGGAAGGGTATTTACTATCCAGTAACATTTACCAAATTGTGATTTATTTTTGTCAGAATAAGTAACAATTCGAGCCCATCATGCAAGAAGAATCTCGATAATGTAAATACCCGCTAGGCTGAAACTCGGCATCATCTGGAAGGATCAAGAAGACATCATGACTGCCTTGAGCCACCCACGGAAGACGAGCCAAAAGCCGCTGCCGATGGAATCTCTTTTAGTGCCCCAAGTCCCACGTGGCAATTACTTGAACCTTCAGGAGGAGAAACAAAGACTGCAGCTAAAGAAGTTCCTCCTCCACAGGATGTTCGTCGTGGCCAGCATTCAAGAAAACACAGAGAAGACAGACGTCGCTGAGTACTACGAACAAGCGTTCCAGTCGATTCTGAAACACCACCTGGGAGAAGCAGTGACGGGACTGCTGCTCGTCTACCCCACTTCCATGCTGCACATTCTTGAGTCGTCCACCGGGACCCTCTACCAAATTCTTGAGGAATATCTGAGCCACCAAAACGAAGAATTCATGATCAAGGACATGAAAATCATAGCCATCTCCCATAACATCCCTTCGAGGCTCTTCATGCAATGGCACATCTCCCTCATAAAGGTCCCAGTCCTGTATCTCGATGACGTGACACAGTCACAGACCCTGGAAGAGGTGATCACGGAGTTTCTCACTCACACTCACAAACTAGGACTCTACCTCTTCAAGACTATCAAGGTGGGTACGAAAGGATTAGGTGATAATTTGCACCAAATTGTACCTGACCTACTCCCCCCTGAGCAAATCATAAAGTACTTGTGCAAATCTAAGGAATTCATGAACCCAGCAGAATTCATGAACATGTACAACAAACCCATCCACATCACTTTGGATTCTGAGATAGTATGGCCTGCTCCTTCCTACTTCTAGGTGTGAGAGTGACAGTGTGCTCCTGTCTCTCAGGAAATTCAACGATGTCTTTTCAAATTCTAAAGTTACTCTTCTCTTTTAAAAGGTGGAACAGCACCCTGCAACATACACACAGGTTTTTTAATTACTCTCTACAGAGTATGTTTAGCTAAGCATGGAAATATATCTTCGTTTGGATATTAAGCTCAATATATTATTTTAACAAGAACATGAGTTTAACAGGTTCCTATTGAATTCTTAAATGTTAGCTTTATATTCATTGAACAAATTAATTTTTTCAAAGTAAAGGATGGATGGAAAGGAACAAATACAATTCACTTTCCTAACACTGAGTAACCAGTACCACACAGCACCAATAGTGTTTGGGGCAGACAAAACTTAAGGGAAAAAGGCCACCCTTGAGTTGTTGGCAATTTAAGGTTAGAGGCAAGTATGTGAAGAAGTAATTACGATACGGTATGATGTAATATGCTTATTACAGTAGAAATATATGGGGAGACTCTGAGTCCCAGTGAGAGAACCATCGACTGAATAATTCCTGCCTCCAGAAACCAAAACCTAACCTTTGCGTACTCCCATCTTCTGCCTGTGTAATCAAGAGTTCTGAGATACTTAGAAACCCAAGGAAGACAACCGCTTTTGCAAATGACCAGAAGACTCGTCACCAGACACCACAGTACTCCTTCGTCCCACACCGCACCATGTACTGAGCACCCTTGTATGTGACAACCGCCAGGTGCCAGGGAGAGCGCAGGGTGTGGAGAAGACATTATTGCAGCCGCTTTCTAACACTCACCTCCAGATGATTCTGAATTAAATAAGCAAATTTGTTATTTTCTCGATTCGTCTTCTACAAAACAATGTCTATAACAAGCTCTATTTTCCTTTACCAGAGTTAATATTTTTTGTGTGATTTCAAAATTTCTAATTTGTTTAAACAACTAAATGACAAATTCTTTTCACTACTGTCATATTTATCTAAAATTACCTTAATATCTTATGACACAGATTTTAGATCTAATAGAAGAAATACTTCATTATTGTTTTTTTTTAAACTCTTTAGAGGAAAAGAAGCAATCTCAATTTGTACCTCATATGCAGATAAATTAGCATCAGCACTTCATGTTAAAATCAAATTTCAGGAAATACCAACCCTACTTTCAAACTTTATGTATTTAAATACAAAATGTCACTTTTCACTTTCAGCCTTAAGGTCCCTTTCATTTCAATTTAATAACAGAAACAACATGTTTTAGATACAACAAGAAGCAACTCTTCCAGTGAAAAAAGAATGTATAATGTTCTACATTTGTATAAATTTAGAAAATATCAACTTCCTAATATTATTCAGCAATAAGTTATTTACTCTGAACTAGGAAAAAAGACACAGGGGCTCATCAATAGTAAATGATTAGTGACATAATTAATGAGAGTAAGTATTTTCCATGCCAAAAAAATAAATAAAAAGAGTAGAGAAAACACTTTCCAAAGAAGAAAGCCTTGGTGGAGACTTTCAGTGGATGTGAAAAGTGGTTTGGGGACAGACCAGCATATTTAACAGAACAAACCGAGACAAGAAGGAAGAAGAGAACAAGAAATGTTCACTGAATCCAAAAGTCTCTTTGGGAGGGTGAATTTTATTTGGAAAAAGTATTTTCTAAAGTTACCTGGTGAACATAACTATAGTTTATGGATACAAATTATATATTTATATATATGAAATTATGGTGGAACGCATTTTTTCCAAAGGGTCACTGCAGTACTCATATCAACCCCACACACTCTTCTTTCGACATGACTTACAGATTCCTCCGATTGCATGGGGGCTTCTAACCCACTCCCCAAGAAATCAGGCAGACCTGTGTGACTGCCCTGACCCTCAGCGTACACCAGGGCTGACTTCACACGACCTCCTAGGGTAGGTCACAGAGACACCAGGCTCTCAGCTTTGCTCAGTGCACAGCGGCGCTGCGAGCCATCCCGCTTCCAGATGAGGCCCCCAGCTGAGACTCTCACCAACAGTGTCCCTCAGTGCGGCACTCCTTTAACCCCGGACTTCATGCCAGCCCAGCAGAGCCTGCACAGAGGAGAGGCAGTCTGTTCCGAGTCCTGCTCAAATCAACGATCGGGAAAAACTTAAATGACTGTCATGGATCTAAGGCACCAAGTTTTGGGCGACTGCACAGCAGTCTGGAACAACAAAATATATTTAGCAGGAACAATAGGTATGAATATATACTACTTTATATAATGTATTCTTTATTCAGTAATGTACTTCATGTAAAAATTTACCAGTGATCCAATCAGTGTGCTAGCAACACACTAGGGTGTGTACCCACCACACATTTATTGGTCTATAATACTTCTTGGTGTCATAAAAACTGACAAAAAAACAAATTTTCCAAGCCAAAGAAAATCATTAACCATATGAATCATTTTTGGAGGAAGAGACAGTACATAACTCAATGACAATATTGCTGATTTTTACTTTATAGTGTAATTTTTACTTTAAAAGAATTCATGAAGTCTCAACTGAAAGTAACTAAAATAAACAGTGATTATAAATAAAGTTCATATTTACTTATCTATTCACATTATACTTCTCCCAGTGACAAGACCATTGCTAAAAACATTTTGTGATTCTTTTATAGCAGCCAAATGAAGGAGGTTTATAAATCAAAGGTAGACTGAATTTTCAGTTACATCAAAACTATCTTTAGATAATATACAGTCCAATTTGATTAGCAATTTTAATAGTCATTCTTTGTTCATAGGAATGTTTATTTTCTCATTCAAAGGAAGACCTGTGGTCATACCTCCAAGGAGAAGTACAAATTATTTTCACAATGGAAGCATTATTAGGGTACTTATACAGCTCACTAACATAAAGTCTTTACAAATGACTCATTTAACTGTGTATTTTGGATCTATTTGATAAAATCCAGAAATCTTGTATTAATACCTTTCAAATATTATTTATTTTGATGAAGTTCAAATATGTGAATCATTAAATCTTAATAAGATTCATAAGGGAATTCTGTTTCCTTACAATAAAAAAAGCTGTTTCCTTACAATAAAACTTCAAGTAGAAGTTTAAGAGTACAAATCTTAAACAGGAAAAGCGAATGTTCAACACTGTGAACATGTAACATTTCAACATTCATAAAACAATGAATATATGACATAAATGCATCTATCAGTGCATTTAATAAGCATATTAGCACTCAAATGAGCTGCCCGGCACCCTCTAATTCTTCTGTTTTGATAGGGGCACTTTACAACAGACTATCATATTTATGATTTATGCTTGTTCAGAATTGACCAAGGAATGTCAGAAAGGTTGTAGGTGTCTTTTTTTTTTTTTTTTTTTTGACAGGCAGAATGGACAGTGAGAGAGAGAGAGAGAAAGGTCTTCCTTTGCCATTGGTTCACCCTCCAATGGCCGCCGCGGCCGGCGCGCTGAGGCCGGCACACCGCGCTGATCCGATGGCAGGAGCCAGGTACTTCTCCTGGTCTCCCAAAGGGTGCAGGGCCCAAGCACTTGGGCCATCCTCCACTGCACTCCCTGGCCACAGCAGAGAGCTGGCCTGGAAGAGGGGCAACCGGGACAGAATCCGGCGCCCCGACCGGGACTAGAACCTGGTGTGCCGGCGCTGCAAGGCGGAGGATTAGCCTAGTGAGCCGTGGCGCCAGCCCTTTGTAGGTGTCTTTAAAAATAACTGAATCAATATTTGAAAGGAAAAACTCTGATGTAAATTCTAAAATCCTAGATTCTTCATTTTAATAAAAGAGACATCTAGATCCCTTCCTGAAGTATTATTGCTCAATACAAATAGATTCTGGAGTCCAATAATTTGATCATAACTTTAACAACACTAAACCACATTTCAATTAAGTTAAACCTACTTGTAGTAGAATTCCCCAATCTCAGGAGGACATGGAAACCACACAGCCTAGCAGCAACAGCTTCACGTAACAAAAATATGTTCAAATTATTTCATGTTGTATTAAATGATTTAATATAAAATTAGAGTTCTCCCCCTTGTGGTCAATTATTTAAATTTCCACATTACCAAATGATGGGGTTACAGACAAAATAGAGTGCATAGATTTTAAGAAAATACAGGGCTAGTCCCCAAAATACCCATCAAATATATAATTTACTCCCCTTGTTCTGCAGATAAAGAACCTGAGATCTAAAGATATTAAAGTAATTTGCTCACAGTAAAAGCAAGTGTTGATAACCCTAACCCCCCATTTCACTGCATCAAATTATACAACTCTTGATTCCTCTACAAATAAATACTGTTTAACAGATTAGTCCTGTCAACTCATTATTTAAAAATTTTAACTCACACTTTTTTAATACTTAAGAAAAATGTTGTATTAGCTGGCCCAAGAAGTGGTCCTTCCTACCATTCTCTGTGTTTCTTATTTTTTTCTAAAAGACTAGTTTAGTACATTTTATTTTGATTATGTACTTTATTGTCAATTTGTAACAATGGTTAGGCCCCAGATTCATTGATTAGTTTGTTTGCTTGTTTGTTTGTTTGTTTTTTTGACAGAGTGGACAGAGACAGAGAGAGACAGAGAGAAAGGTCTTCCTTTGCCGTTGGTTCACCCTCCAGTGGCCTCCACAGCCGGCACATCGCGCTGATCCGAAGCCAGGAGCCAGGTGCTTCTCCTGGTCTCCCATGGGGTGCAGGGCCCAAGCACTTGGGCCATCCTCCACTGCACTCCCTGGCCACAGCAGAGAGCTGGCCTGGAAGAGGGGCAACCGGGACAGAATCCGGCGCCCCGACCGGGACTGGAACCTGGGGTGCTGGCGCCGCAGGCGGTGGATTAGCCTAGTGAGCCGCGGCGCCGGCCCATTAGTATGTTTCTTTACAGACACAAACGTAAAAGACATTTTTGTTATAAATCAGGTTGAGTATATCTGAATCATTCCTAAGTAGCTATACAGTTAGAATGGGAAAGGATCAATTTTAACCAAATGTGAATATTTACAGAACTGCGTCTCCTGTAACTTTCAGTTGAAAGGATCACCTTCTACCCCCAGGCTGAAACCAGGTTCTACAACCCCGCAGAACCATAACTCACTTTCCTACTTTCTGCCCCTCAGCTTCCTGATCTGCAAAGTGAGCACGTAAGAAGTTTCTATCTATTAAAATGGGTTCTGGGTATCACCCGAAATAATCACATACAGACCCTGTCCTACAGGGAACACCAAATAAATGTTGTTATCTTGATGAAAATTCTTCTGTGGCTTCCATTTCGCCTCCTGCATAACAACAAAACACTATGTGGTCTGCAAGGCCTCCCTAACTCACTTAGCTCTTTCCCTTTTCTCACTTTTTTTTCTAATGATTTCCTAATACTTCCACACTCTTTACCATTCTCCCTCACTTCACTCACCGAAATTCTGCACACCAAGCTGTATTTCCTTTGTGAAGACTGGAGAATTCCAGAACCTGTCCTGTCCTCCTTGTACCTGGTACCCAACTGCATTCCAGCGATCCTCCAGTGATGCTGCTACTATTCATTCCCACACTCACCCTGCCAGGAACTTGTAAGCCATAAAGACAGGATTGGGGGTGGGGAGGAAGTATTTGTATTATTAGCATTTCATGAACATTTATTTGAACTATCTGTAAGAACCTTTATGTAATATTAGTTTTATTTTATCAATATCATTGTGCAATTTCAATATATTAAAATATCCTTACATAATTGATTAGGTTTGTACTATTGGTCATGAAGCTATTTTATATTGCAAAGTTCAAAATATAATGGTTGGGCCTTATCTAAAACCTCCAGTTTTTAGCCACATAATACTTTACCTGACTCCAGTTTGGAAGAATACCCAGAATACATTCTAGAAGCGGTTCAGTCAAATTTTTGTATTTATGTATCACTCTGCTGCACTGAGCCAACCATGGAAGCTCTTTCCCATTTTGCTGGTTAAAGTAATCTTTCTTTCCTCTTGGAGCACGTGACCACTCTACTAGTAAGGTATATCATGTTTAATCCATGTTTAATGTCTTATGCTTTTCAAATCTTTGTTTCGCTATCCATGCACATCTATTCTTTGAGACGTATGTCTGATGACACTAATATCTACCACTTATTACCTATCATTCCTTAGGTTATTGTGGAAGTAGAAGTTTAGTGCCACTTAAATTAGATAGGTCAAAATGCTTATGATGTCTTAAAATAATTATTTTTAAAACATTATTTGGTAACTATATTAAATGCAAAGCTTTGGAATATAAATTTCTGAATGTTGAGACTTATTTGTTTTATAAAATCTGACTCTGGTCACAACTCAGGGGTCTCTCCCCTCAGGGATCTCTCTCACTCAACTTTCCCCTTCTCTTCCATCTTCCCAGACTGTACTACACTTGGTTTATGAAAACAATGTATAGGGACAGATGATTGGCACAGAGGTTAAGACTCTGCATGGACTGCTTGTCCCTGTATCAGGGTGCCTGGGCTCACGTCTCAGCTCCACTTTGAATTCCAGCTTCCCGCTGAGGCCCACCCCGGAGGTAACAGGTGACAGCTCCAGTTCCTCCCTTGTAGGAGACCAAGACTGAGGTCCAGGCTCCTACTTTCAGCCTGGCCCAGCTCCTGCTGTTGCAGGCATTTAAGGAGTGAAGTGGCAAATGGAAGTTTTCTGTCTCCATGTCTTTAAAATTTAAAAAAAATAAATTACAATTTTTTAATTCTTTGATTCTTCACTTTTTGCGTACTGGTATTTCTCAAGCACATACTATGTTCTAGCCAAAATTAAAATTAAAAAAGAATATTGACTGAAATGAGATGAATAACCTTTGTCATGCACTACTGTACTACTAACTCATTCTGTGCTCTTGAACAAATATTTTAGTCCTTCTAGGGCCTCTGCTCATCAACACTGTGTATGTCCAGGTAGACCATAGCTATCTGGAGAAAACTGTGTCTGATGGGAATGACTGTGCAGTCTTAGACAACCAGACAGATGAGAATACGATTGAGAGATTCCTCTTAAAATGTGGAAGTTCAATGTCTGAATTAATGACTAACCCACTCTATTAGAGAACACCCATGGGCAATACCAATATTTTTCACAATCAGCATCCATCCTAGCTGTATCCATTTAGCGCCAAGATGGCTAGAAAACTAAACTGCCAGAATCTATATATTAAGTTATGACATCTAAGTAGCAAGTCTGGCAATACCGTGGAGTTGAAAGAAGCAATGAAGAATGAGGCATTTTTCCTCCACGTGTTGATGTGAAGTCACTGGAGATTTTAAGTAGGGCATAATGAGGTTTTATTACTGGGTGGAGAATAGCAAGGGTGAGGAGACACTCAATTAGACTAATGACTGTGGAAACAGACACAATTGTACCAATTTGAGATAATGAGGAGGAAAATAAACATAGGTGATGAGGAACAGAAATGTCAAACACATGGAGTTTCCAGCTTTTCCAGCAAGATGGTATCTTTCTTCAGGTCAGAAAAATACAAGGAGAACTGAATTTGTAGGGGAAGATCACCCTTACAATTTATGACTGTATACACATAT